GTAACACGCGCGATCTGATGGTACTACTACTACTACTACTACTACTACTCTAAAAGTTCATCACGCTTGAAAGCTATCGAGAATCTATACATAACTGAGTGTTTTACTATTGAATTAAAATATTACCTATTAATGTAAATGATACCTATTAATGTAAATGGTTTTTCATTATTACATTATTATATTATAGATGTTATACTTAATAATATATTTACAAATAATTAAGACAACCTCATGGTGTTTTTACTCTATCCATCTGTCTATCTCCTTGTTCTTGTTTTATTCAGTTACAGATTGAGTAAAGAATTATTTTTATACTAGCAATTGAATTCAACTAAAATTTTTATTATTTAATAATAATAATTATTATAATATGATAATTCTGTTGTTTAATAATAGTATAGTTACACAGTTACGTGAATAAGTCATATCAATTATTTTTGTAATGTCTATATAAATTTTTTAAAGAGGCTATTGGTGACTTGATTGGGTTGAAGAAAAGAAAGATCGAGATTTCCGACAATAAATATGTTTTATTACACATATATCTCGTACGACGATTACACGATATTAATACATTCATTTAACTGTCCAGCAATCAAACAGGTATTTTTATTTTTCTCTCCTTATTTCATCATCATTATCAATCTATTATTACTAAATATTATTACACATCTCATTAAATCATCGCGACTTGTAATACTTGTAAATCATCATCGAATCGAAATTTCTAATTCTGTATTTTGCTTTTCGATCTTTTCACTATTTTTTTTTTTTTTTCTTTTCCAAACTCTCTAGCGAGCGACTGGCAGATTGTATGTGTTAGAGAGGACATTTTCCTCGCACTCCAACAACGACGCTCTAGAAGTATGACAAGTCGCAATGACGCAATAAGATAGTATGACAAATCGTGTTTTGTGGCGTTTTTTATTTCTTTATTTTTGTACCTGCGCGCGCGCGCGCGCACACACACACACACACTCGCGAGATCCATCGAGACGAGCGACAAGAAAAAAATGTTTACGGAAAGAAAGAACGGAGTGCGTTTCCGCTCGTTCACGCCAGAATACAATCAAAGACGCACTCGCGCTAAATAATTAGAAGATCGCCGTCTGATCGAATACTTTCGCCGAGTTTCAAACTGGGCATCAGTGCAGAGGTACATCATCATCGACATAACACTTTATCGTCTTCCTTTTTCGCCTCCTTCTTTTTCTCTCTTTCTACAACGTCGCCTCGACGGCTGAAGCAAACGTGATCTTAATTACGTTCATTCGCGCAGCGAGTGTTACCGTTAACATTAATTAATAAATCAGTATCTCTCTTATCGCGCTTATCGTTATTATTACTGTTAATATTATGATTATTATCATTAATTATTAATATTATTATTATTATTATTATTATTATAACCTCGTTGCTTACGCCCTAAAAACTTCGTTTAAGTTAACTCCCCCTTCTCTCGACTTAATGCAGTCGCGGACTCTCGTGAACCTCGGAGTTTTTCTTACACACTAAGCTTGGTGGCCAGCACCAAAACACTCACTAGATCATTGTCTACAACACACATAGAGATTTTGCTTTCTCCGTAGTATTTTTTTCCATTTTTTTTTTCGTTTTTCATGTTTTTGTTATGCGACTTTTAGGTAAATTCCCTTAACGTGATTAAGAAATGTATGATTACGATGTTATGAGCCCGAGCCTACCGGTCGCTTACGCATGTCATCACAATCAGACTCGCCCGCCAAATTTGTTTTTTTTTTTTCCTACTTCGCGCAGTCGCGATGGCAAGCTTACGACTTAGAGTAATAGTGAAACGTTAATTTTGTTTTTAGGCTGATCTTCGATACACTCGCCCCATCGGTCGCTAAATGACGTGTTCCGTTCATTTCCCTGATATCATCGAGGCGCGCAATTGTCGCCGTTTCACCAATACGAGCGATTCTGTTCTGCCTCCCTTAAAAGATTTTTCACGATGCGACACATAATTTAAAGAAGGAAAAAGGAAAATCCTCGAGATATACCGATAATTTTTATATTAAAAAAATACAGTGACTAATAACTCGGCGCTTACCAGCGCGCCTTTCGAGTCTAT